TGCTCACCAGGCACATGGAGGACAATCAGGGGATCAGGCCCAGCCAGCACGGGTTCATGAAAGGCAGGTCCTGCCTGACCAACCTGATTTCTTTCTATGACCAGGCAACCCACCTGGTGGATGAGGGAAAGGCTGTGGATGTTGTCTACCTGGACTTCAGCAAGGCCTTTAAGACAGTTTCCCACAGCATTCTCCTAGAAAAGCTGGTGGTTCATGGCTTAGACAGGTGTACCCTTTGCTAGGTAAAAAACTGGCTGGATGGCCAAGCCCAGAGAGTTGTGGTCAACGGAGTTAAATCCAGCTGGTGGCCGGTCATAAGCATTGTCCCGCAGGGCTCAGTTCTAGGGCCAGTCTTGTTTAATATCTTTATCAATGACCTGGATGAGGGGATCAAGTGCACCCTCAGTAAGTTTGCAGATGACAGCAAACTGGGTGGGAGTGTCGATCTGATGAAGGGGAGGAGGGCTCTGCAGAGGGACTTGGACAGGCTGGATCAATGGGCCAAGGCCAATTGTATGAGGTTCAACAAGGCCAAGTGCCAGGTCCTGCACTTTGGTCACAACAACCCCATGAAACGCTACAGGTGTGGGGAAGAGGGGCTGGAAAGCTGCCTGGTGGAAAAGGACCTGGGTGGCTGAATATGAGCCAGCAGTGTGCCCAGGTGGCCAAGAGGGTCAACAGCATCCTGGCTTGTATCAGGAATGGTGTGGTCAGCAGGAGCAGGACAGTGACCGTGCCCCTGTCCTGGGCACTGGTGAGGCTGCACCTTGAACACTGTGTTCAGTTTTGGACCCCTGACTACAAGAAAGATGTTGCATTGCTGGAACATGTCCAGAGGAGAGCAACCAAGCTGATGAGGGGTCTGGAGCACAAGTCTTATGATAAGCAGCTGAGGGACCTGGGGTTGTTTAGTCTGGAGAAGAGGAGGCTGAGGGGAGACGTTATCGTCCTCTACAACTGCCTGACAGGAGGCTGTAGCGAGGTGGGGGTTGGTCTCTTCTCCCTGGTAATGGGTGATAGGACAAGAGGAAATGGTCTGAAGTTGTGCCAGGGCCGGTTTAGGTTGGACACTGGAAAAAATTCCTTCCCCAGAAGTGTTGTCAAACACTGGAATGGGCTGCCCAGGGAAGTGGTTGAGTCCCCATCCTGGAGGGATTTAAAAGCTGGGCAGACGAGGTGCTTAGGGACAGGGTTTAGTGGTGGGGTGGCAGGGTTAGAGTAACAGTTGGACTCGGTGATCTTAAAGGTCTTTTCCAACCTAAACAATTCTATGATTCTATGATTCTTGGTGTCCAGGTTTAAAATAATGTCATGTCTTGTGCTACCTAAACTTGGCAGGTGCCTCCATCTGGGGTTGGGAGGGAACCTGGCATGTGAAGGAAGGTATGAAAATCTGTGGGCAAAGGGGGCGAAGGCATGTGGTTAGAGCCTGCTTCTGTTGTGGAGGGTTTCATGGTCTGCTTATGGCTGTTGCATCGAGAAGTTATGAACAGCACTGGGAAGCCAGAAGCCCCATCCCTAAGGGAGCAGCTCCATCCGTGGGCTTCAGCTTGCCTCCCTGTTGCCTGGTTTCTCCCTGATCCCATAGGTTTTGCATTTCCTACTGCCCAGCAACACAACCCATGCTTGTGAACCAAAGACTGACCCACATCTCAAGTTACATAAAAGGGTCCTTATCTGGAGATGGGAGCAGCAATTGCCACGAGGTACAGGACGTCCTAAGCCCATGAAAGCCCCCTTAGGGAACCCTCCCTTGGAAACCAATGTTGTGTAAGAGGAGACTCCGCTCTGCCAGCCTCCCTGAGAAATCCTGATGTGACATCACCCACGTAGATGCTGCTGCCTAATTCCACATTCCTCCACCCAAGGTTTCTTATTTGTTGGCTCCCATGGTTGCATACTCCTTGGATGAGAGCGGCAAGCGGCCCTCTAGAGACACCTGGGATGCCTGGAGGGCTCTCAGGAAGATTAGCATCTCACTCAAATAGTTGGGATTGCTCCTGGGAAGTAGCTGGCTCTCTCTTTGTGGATTAGCTAAGAGCTCAGTTTTCCATGCTCTGAGTCACTGCACCAGGAGGTGATTCAACCAAGGGGGGCTTGCCCTGCCTAAATTAGGCACGTGGAGGAGGTGGTTTAACTTTGGCTCTTCTTTTCCCTCGCTCAGGGCTCTATCACCACTGATTCTCACGGACCTATGCTGCCTTCTTCTCTCCTCTAATAATTTGACTGCCTTTACCCTCACAACATGAAATTTCTTCCCTTTCTCTCTGCTTATTTGTCCACATCCAATTAATACCCAGTGAATCAATGACAAAGCAAGAGACAATATGGATGCAAAAGATCAAAGCAAGGTCTTCACTGGGTCTAAAAAGCTTCTGAAAGCCATGGAAAGTGACAAAAGCATCCCTTTTTCAAAATTAACTGCTGCTCTCTTGTCTTGGCCCCATTTTGAGGTCCACTTTAGTTTTCTTGAAAGGGTAATGATGAGATTATTCTACAGCGGTGAATCAGCTTTCTTGCATTTTTGCAGTCTTCCTCAATTTTACTTCTCACTTGGTGTCGCTGGCTGGCCTGCTCCAGGCCCTCCTCCAGGCTGAAGGCTGTGATGCTGGGCAGCAGGAGATGCCTTCCCCACGTTGGCTGCTTAAGTGTTGCCTCTACTGAATTGAGTTTTGTAATCTGTCCTCTTGAGAAAGAAGGAATTGCTGGGACCCAGTCACTGTGCTGCAAAATTACTGCTCTCCAGATGCTGGAAAGAGGGCATGCTCCAGCACTGCACTCCACCTCGGTACTAACAAAGACATTGATGTCCTGGAGACAGCTCCCAGATAATTGTTTGACGTAGAAGAACTTGTTTCCTACTCAAATTTCTCTCCTTAGTACATGTTTGTTGGCAGTGCTGGGGATGTCTTAGCCTCCCCACTCTCTTTCAAAGCTGACTTGAGGAGGCCGGATGAAAGGACTGAGCCAACATCCTATAGCATGAAGGTTCATGTAGAAATAAATGGATGTTGGCAAGGTCAATGTGAGGCGGGATATGGAAATAATTATAGCACTCTTTCATTCATGGAGGAAGGGAAAAGGAAAATACATAACAGGAGTCTATGGGATAATTAATAGGACCAAAAAAAGGAAAAAAAAAATGGTTCCTTCCTTTTACCCTCATTGCAAAATACCAGCAAGAAGACACACCCACTAATTATGAAGAACAACCTGTTTGTAACACACTTGGGCAGTAAACCAAGCTGCCCTCTGCAAAGCAGAACCCTCGATTCGATCATCACCAGCATGTCCCCTGCTGACCTCACACACCTCCAAAAACAAGAGCGGGGATGTATGTTTTGTCACCGGGCTTTACCAACTCCGGAATTCACCACCTGATGATATCATTCTAGGAGCAGTTTAAGAGAGCCTGAAAAGCATCAGAAACTCACATGGGTAAGGAAATCATCTGGTGTCGTGATGATTCATATTAGAAATGGACAAAAATACCCTACAGATGGCTACTTCTAGGGAACCACCCGTTAAGTTATTCCATAATTGCCAGAAAAAGGGGTGGGTTGGCAATTTTTTCTTTTGCACATTTTGCTACCTGCTGTCCAGGACTAATCTCACTTTGGAAGAAGCTCCACTGAGATGGTAGCTTGAGCTCTTAAAAGATGCATCTTGTATTAGGGCCTATTTCCCAGAATATCAGAAACTGATTTTAAGAAATTCAGAGGAGAGAAACACATAGGAATAGAAGAAAAGGGATTGATTTGGGACGAGGGGTTGGAAAAGAGACAGTTTGAGGGATGGCTTTTTTCAAAGTAGAGCAGCAATTCCAGGATGCCAATTTGTGGTATCGTAAATGGAGGTTTGATTTCCAGAAACTGTTGGGCGTGGAGAAAAGCAGACCCTCGAAAGGATCCCTGAAATAGAAGCAAAACTTCATTAAATAAAAAGCATGTAAGTTATTTGAGAATTACAACCAAGAGAGGAGCAAGGAGAGGGATTCACTACAGGTAATGGCAAATTGATAGAGAAATGAAGACTGACATGAAAATTTGAAGAAAATCTTCTGTTTAATTAACCATTAGCTAATTTCATTTAGTGTAAACCACACTGATTTTATTGGAGGTCAGCCAGCGTAGGCCGGTTGAGAGGCTGAGCTTCTGGTACTGTGGAATAATTGAAGAAAATGAACGGTATGAACTCTGGTACATCACAGGCTGACAACCCAAAGGGATTAGAAAAATACACTTCTAGGACTATCTCCCCATGCCTCTAGGCTCCGCTATTTCATCAGTGCAGCTTCTTCTCCTGCTGGGAAGAACCTCAGAGGAGAAGAGAGCAGACATCATTTCCCATCACTCATATGACCGGAAGAGCAAGAAAGGTTTTTTCCCCATGGTGCCAGGCTGTTCCATGGGCTCCAGCATGGAGAACTCCCACATGCACATTACACACCCTTGGGTTGATTTCATGTCCACCTGTGAGCCACCTGGAACCTGTAAAACTGCTGCCATTCAAAAGGTATATAACCTGTCCTCCAAGCATCTTTCTGGTCTGGCTGAGAGGATCTGGAGGAGATGAAGACTACTCTTGTCACCTTGCTGGCTGCTGTCCTGTGTGTGGAGCAAGGTGAGCCTCTAATGTTGCTACTAGTTAAGATAAGGCTTATAGAGAAGGTGGTGGGAACTTGTTGTGTGGCAAAAATTGAGAGGGCTGTCACCAACTTTGCGGCATTGAAATGTTGCAGTTAGGATGCCACCAACTTCCTTTTGCAGCCTGATTAATGATTTCCTGCAGAAATAAGATCCCGATAAACTAATTCTTGCCAGCAGGCAGCAGTGAGTGACAGCGCTCTAACTGGATGGCACTGGATGCCAGGTTATATCCATGCAGTCATCTTCAGGATCTTCCCAAAGGATACAAGTTGGACGTGCCAGAAAGCATAATGAAAATTATCTTTTTTATCCATATCGTTTTTTGAGTATTTCACAGACTTTTCTGTGCTGCTGCTTCCTCCATTGTAGCAAGCCACGTGGTTTGCCGTGCGTCTTGCTCCCTAGGAAATGCACCAGTGAGAATTTTTATAGATATAAATCAGAGGCAGAGGTGACAGAGCTTTTCTGTGCATATGTCATGTTAGAAGCATCCTTCCCCAAAGGGAAGTCTGGAGTATTCTGAATGCGTGTCCTCCTTCTGGAACTGATAGGCATGTGTTGCTACATCGCTACTTGCTCGTAGGAATAATGACCAGATTGCCAATATTTGCCCACGCCTGATGGTTTCCCAGAAACCATGATACAGATCTTGCAGGGGTTGAGAAAGAAGCGTCTAATTAATTCTTGCTCTCTGATGTATCAACCCCCTACTCCTACATTTTTTGGACAGATGGTTTGTGGCATGCCTGGAAGATCAGAAGCTTTGGCCAGGTTTGTGGTGGGAAAAGAAGTATTCAATTCTAAAAAAAGAAAATATTTTGTCCCTGTAATTCCTGAATTCAATGACGCGACATGGACAGAGGAAAGTAATTATCAAAGGCAACGTCCTCAGTGCTACCCAAGATGAAGTGGAAAGCTGATAGAGATCCAAGACTCTGGTAGCACACATTCATGCTGGGAGACCTTATTGCTGTATTGGCTGACAATCTTGTGTATTGGTATCAGCTTCCAAATGGCCCTGAGGACAATCTTTTGTACGGCACCTTTCTGTAGCCCAGTCTAAATCCGTGAAAGCTAGTAATTCTAATATCAAGGCTTTCACTTTCAAGAGTAAGAGATCACAGCTTTCTGGCCTAATACAGGGACAAAGGAAAACTTGGATCTAACTGTTATCTGATCCTTCCCATGTATTTGGGATCCCATTCAAGACCCTAAGAAGCAACTTTTGATCAAAACTGTTGATGTCTCTGCCCACCAAAGAGTGTCTGTTGCCACTTGCATCCATGAACTCACCTTTATACATCTATTATGCCCAGAAGAAATCTTAAAAGGTCATGATCCTTTTCCCAGCTCCAATGCTGGACCAAACCAGGCAGATATCTGTCGAATGTGTCCATGAAAGTTTTCAACAAAGAAGGTTCCACAGCCTGGAATTGTTCAGACTCATCCTTTTAGAAAGTTAGGCTTAATATCTCTTAACATCACTTCTTGTACAGTTCTGTGTTCTCACCACAGGGTAGTGAAAATTTTCTTCCTTGCAGCTTCTTTTTGCTTGCACGGAGAAGGTTACTGTGTCTTCCCTCAGCATTTTCTCATGTTTAATAAACATGAGAAACGCTTCCAACCTTTTTTACGAGGTCATATTTTTTAAAATCTCTGACCATTCCTCCTCCCTCTCCTCTGGTCTCTCTCCAACCACTTTGCATATTTTCTGAAGTGCCACATACAGATTTGGTCATCGGTGTTCCAGCTGAGGCCTTGCCAAAGTGGAAAGGCCACTTTGCATATCTTGCACATGACATTGCTGCCTGTGTTCCCTTGGGTGACGTTTGTTTTCATCGCTGTAATGTGACACGGTTGACTCCTGCTGTTTGCACTGCAGTCCTTAATCATAGCTCAACCAGTTGTTCCTCATCCTACATTTAAGCTGCTAATTTTTATCTTATTGCAATATATTTCTCTTTATTGAACTGCATCCACTCTTTTATTTCTTCCATCTGTCAAAATCACTTAGAACTCTACTTACAGTATGTTTTCAGCTATTTTGTCCTTTGCATCATCTGAAAATGTGATGTGCATCCTCTTTTCCCTCCCTAATGCCACTAGTGATGATACTGTATAGACGTGAGCCCAGAGCAGAGCTCTTGGAGAACCTTATGAGTTGAATTGCTCCAACTGATTTGACCAATAACCGTTGCGAACAACACTGTGAGGGTGTTTCCATGTCTGGCTTTGCACCCACTCTGTTGCATTTTCTCTAGCTTGTGTTTCCTGGGCTTGCTCATAGCAAGGTCACTTGAGATTGTGCCGAAGATTTTGGTAAAAGCTTACTGCACCTCCTCTACCCTGCACATGAGGAAGCAACTTTTTTAGTGATGAACGAAGCAAAAAAGCTACACAGTGTTATGGCCCTCTCAGCACCAACAGTTGATTATTTTTTCCTTCCCTTCCCTTTCATCAGAAACTTCTCATTTAATGGTCTCTCTGACCTACGTTGCCCTTCCACTTTCTTACTACCAACTTCTTATCGGGCAAAACTGCACTCACAGGAACGTGTCCTCTAAGTGCTTTTTGCCCTTTCCACACTGACAGACTGTTCCCAGCGTTACCAGGAACTTGGCAAGCATTCCGTGCTGTGTTTGCTTCCCTTTCCAAAAATGTCTGTTTTTTAAAAGTAACTCACCCCCTTGCCTACGCACAAAAACGCATCCTTTGCTCTGGGTGATTTTGCAGGCTCAGAACCCAACCACCACCAGAAAACCTAGAAATCAATTAATTTGCCCAGCTGAGGAGTGTTCTGCACATACTTCGGTGTGGTTCCTCATCCAGATTGAGGTTTTGCTCTTCTTCCTTTTTATCATTGCTTTAAAGAGGCTTTACAGAGGTCTACCTACCACTTTCTGGATTTGAAGGCAAGTGGTACGTTCTTGACAGACAAGACAGCTCATTGCTGCCTGCCCCTCCTGCCAGTCATCTGTATCTGTATCGTAGATGCGTGAATTATCCCACCAAATCTGTGCTTACCAGTTAAACCATACTTTTGGTTAAGACTTCCCATGTATTGTCTATCTTACAACAGTGAGCGGAAGTTCAGCAGAGAATCTGACTACTCTCATCAGACTTCCTAGGGCTGAGGTCATGGCCAGTTCAGTTAGTGGCGTTCGACCACAAAAAGGGATATGTGACAGTAGTCTCTGAGCCAGAGGAAAAAGAGATAGGACACTGGGAATTGTCCACTTCCTTGAAATGCTCCAGGCATCCTCACGTTCTCCCTTGCAAGCCCTACCTAGCCTAGCCCAGGAGAAGCGACTGAGCAGTAATTGGCAATTCATGTGGCAGAGCTCTCAGGACAGAGAAGTTACTGCTCAGCAATAATCTCCATCATAAAAGACCCCAAATCCTCGAATTCCACTCACATCTACTCCTGCCAGAGATTGCAAACAGATCGATAACACTTTGCAGTCTGAGACATATGAGACAGAGAAGGATTTAACATTGCTGCCACGGGTCAAGGGATAAAGAAAGTCACTGGTCATTCACATACAAGCATTCATCAAGCTGTAGCTAGGAAAATGGAGATATCTGGATTGTAGTTATTGTGGCTCCTAACCCATGTAATGTGCTTTTTTTTATTCTTCTCCCCCAGCTTACCCATTTATATGCTACGTATGCCAAGAAAAGGAGTCCAACAAGAACTGTTTGACCATTTCCTTGTGCGCAAAGGAAGACAAATACTGTGTGACTGTCCGTAACAACATTGGAACAAGTATGTTTCTGAACAACACCTTGTTTGAGCAGTCTCAGGAATGGGCTTTCATTCCACTCACACCCATGTACGGAAACAATGGCCCCAGTCACCAACTGTTAGGAAACATCGACCTTGACTTGCAGTCACTGCAGCATCAACAAATGCTTGATATTATTACCAGGAGCTGGGGAAATGCTGAAGATACACATATAGCAGCACCAGAAAGTGAACTCAAGCTTGGGGTTGCATGCACCGCTTCGTGGATAGCTCCCCCAGCTCTGTACTGACCGCTCCAGCTAGCTCTTGCTATGGAGAAACTCACTCCCAGGGTTGTTTTCAAAAATATTTGGGCAAACTGCACCATGGCCAACTCCCTCTGCCAGGCACAATCCATCAGGTCTGTCCTTGGGGCTCCGCACCCTCAAACACCTCCATGTGCTTTCAGACCAAATCTCAGGTCAGATGATACATTCCCCCTGGTTTTATGCTGTAGGAAAACTGTCCTGGTGGGCAGCGACCCAGCCCAAGCATTGCTTCAGGCAGCTTGAACTGAAAGCCACCCACACATGCTAATTCCGCTTTAGGGACAGACGAAACACGGAGCCCAGGGAAGACCAGAATCATGTTGCAACAGCGTGGACATGGCCAGAGTGTTCCTAGTCCCGAGCAGAAGACATATTTGTTTGGGGACTAGACCCTGGCCTTCTTTTATTCACCAATGCAGATGTAGCCAGGGAGCAACGGTTGGATTTGATGATCTTGAAGGTCTTTTCCAACCTAAACAATTCTATGATTCTATGAACATTTAAACAATGATTCTTACATTCTACTCTTTCTTTTTTCCCCCCTTTTTTCTGCATTAGAACCCAACAAGCCTAAATATGTCATCTCTAAGATGTGTTCTCCAACGTGTCCAGCAACAAGCCAGCAACAAAACCAAACCGATCAGAGGGTTTATTGCTGTGAGAAACCGTTATGCAATGTGAATGGAGTCAGCGGCAAGCAAAGCAGCTCTGGAGTGATGTTCCTGGGTGTCCTAGCCAGTATCACTTACATCTTTGCATGTGGACGGTGATGGGTTAGGAGAAGCTCCCTGTGATGGCATTGTTGTCTGAAATAAAAGTGTGTTGTTCCGGGGTAATTACTGCTCTCAAAGAGTTGTGCTTTGCGTCTGAGCTTCCCTTGGGATTTTTGAGAGAGCCTAAGTAAGTTAGGTGCTGAACTCCCATTGATTTCCTAAGCCTACTTGAATCCTAAGTGTCCCCAGACATTCAAGACACCAAAGAAAACACATAAATGACAGCCCTCTTGACACGTTCAGGCTTCAAATCGTTACAGCTCTGAACAGATCCTTGAAGATATATTTTTGTCTCTTTGAGTTTCAAAGCAATGTGAGGAATTACAACCCACCCTGCTTGAAACACAGGTAAGAGCTCAATAGCTATGTCGAGACAGAGGGGGTGTTCAGCATCTTCTCTTCACAGTGAGGTGGTTATCACACATCAGTCAAGCAGTTTATAAACAAGTGAGTAGAGGTAAAGCTTATTTCTGGCAGATTTTGGACATTCCTCCAACCTCGGTGGGGAACAATTTCTGGCTCCTCTGACTCTTGGCTCTTCTAGGGGTATCGCATTTTGAAACGAGCATTCTTTATCACCCGGCTCTGATGTCTTGGCTGAGCTTGGAGAAAAGGCAGAGAGGAGCAAACGTGGCTGAGAGAGGAAAGGCAGCAGCAGGGTACCAGCAGGGAGACAGGAGGGAGGAGGGAAGCGGGGGGCAGCAGGGTGAGCACTGCAATGGGAATTGCCTGCACACTGCCTCCCCATGGACCTGGTCCAGCTGGAAAAGAAGATGTCCCCATATCTACTTCCTTTTTTTTTTTTTTTTTGCAGGGCTATGCTGCTTTTGGTTGGGGTAGAGTTAATTTTCTTCACAGTAGCTGGTATGGGGCTAGGTTTTGGATTTGTGCTGGAAACAGAGTTGATAACCCAGGGATGTTTTAGCTATTGATGAGCAGGGCTTACACAGAGTCAAGGCCTTTTTTGCCCCTCACCCCACCCCACCAGCGAGGACACTGGTGATGCACAAGAAGCTGGGAGGGGACACGGCTGGGACAGCTGACCCCAACTGACCAAAGGGATATTCCACACCATATGACATTATGCTCAGCCTATAAAGCTGGAGGAAGAAGAAGGAAGGGGGGGACACGTTCAGAGCAATGGCGTTTGTCTTCCCAAGTAACCATTACACGTGATGGAGCCCTGCTTTCCTGGAGATGGCTGGGCACCTGCCTGCCAGTGGGAAGGAGTGAGTGAATTCCTTGGTTTGCTTTGCTTGCGTGCGTGGTCTTCACTTGGTCTTGAAGGGTTCAAGATAACAACAGATTTGATTGGAATGTGCTAGATAGAATTTATAGCTGTTATCAGTAGGCTTCTACGCCTGCCATGGGGCTTGCTTACCTCACTGTACATTAGAGTCCAGTGCTTGTTAGTGGCTGCTTTTTGCTTATGCTGTACTGCTGTGCTGCTGATCATCTCACTCTGCTGTGCCTAGGAACATTTTGATAACAGCAATGGCCATGCGCCTGGGCTGGCAGATGGCCAGGGCATCGCTGCTGTTTCTGTGCTGCTCTACTGGACAGGCTGGAACTCCAGTGTGAACTCCAATCAAAGAGACTGTGACTTGTGGTTGAGTCCAGGTGGGAGCAGGACACCCTGCAGCATCTGCAGCCGTGAATAAGCCCATGCCAGAGCAGGTAGATCTCGAAGCATCTGTGCCCATGGTTATGTCTGTGCCGCAGCAGGTATACCTCTGAAGGGATTGTGGCCCAAGGCTAAGTCCACACTGGAGAAGTTACACCTCAAAGTGACTGTGGCTGTGGATGAGTCCACGCTGGAGAAGGTACACCTTGAAGCAACAGTGGCTGTGCGTGAAGTCATGCTGGAGCACCTCAAAGCATGTAGCCATGGATAAACCCATGACAGAGCAGGTACACCCCTGGGGGGACTGCAGCCCTGG